ACTCTTTACAATGTCCCTCCTTTTTTCATATCATATACTGTCTTATGCCAGTTATTCACTCCTGCTTTGCGAAGATCTTCTTTCACTTCCTTCAACCATCCTTATCTGGGTCTTCCACGTCTCCTTCTCCCTCCGGGGTATCATTGTAACAGTGAATAACCAATGTGCCATTTCCTGCTGTCCAAACGTGTCCTGACCATCTTTCTTTATCTTTGTCGGTTATAAGCAGGTAGGATTAGGTTTAGCCCAGAACAGAGTGGCCTCTTGGGTCTATTATATTCCCCTGCTGTCCCAGTATTCAGGTACTATCTTTGGAATAGTCCTGTGGCTTTGGTTAGTTTTAATAAATTCCCTACCAAATGTTCCTGGAGCGTCTTTCCGGTTCTAGGCCGAAAAGGATGAAACGTCGCCTAGTAAGAGCTTCATATTCGAAGATCACATGGTTTAAGGTTTCTTCCTCTTCCATGCAGAGTCTACACGTAGTGAGATCATTGTATAATCCCATCACATGAAGGTGTTTTAGCAAGCAGTGCCCCGTTAGTAATCTCACAATGGTGGATATCTGAGGCCTTGTGAGTTGTAGTGCCTCAGTAGCCATGCGTAGGTTTGGTCCCCTTAGCATGAACTTTGTTGCCAGTGAATTTGGTGTTTTGTGGTTATCCATCTGTTCACTGCCTGTCGAGCAGAGGTTTTTCTTGTCCCAAATACAGGTTCGGGTCCTGTGAATGGTAGATCGATCCCTCTTTGGTAAGTTCATCAGCCTTTTCATTTCCTTGGATACCTTTGTGCCCTAGTTCCCACGCTAGTTTTACCTTGTTGTGGGTTGCCAGCTCATTTAGTATTCCAATGCAGTTCCAGACAAGCTGCTTTGACTTGATTCTGTTTAAATCAAGAGCCTTTAAAGCTGCTTGGCTATCTGAGAGAATTAGGATGGTATGTGTTTTGTACTTCCTTCTTAAATTCTCTCGTACACACAATTCGGTTGCATGTATTTCAGCCTGAAATACAGTGGCATGTTTTCCCAGTGAGACGATGATGTCGCATTTGGGTTTAACTCCATGTACGCCAGAGCCTGTTCCCTTGTCAGTTTTAGATCCATCCGAATACCATATGAGACCGCTAAGCAAGTATTCTAACTCTGGATTGTTTTTTTTGCATCTTCTTCTAGCTCTTGTTTAATTTCCTCATTTGTTCTAATTCTATATTCTTTTTCTGTGTTTTTTATTGGTCCTTATATTGGTCTCATAATTCTTAAATCTTCTTCCTCTTTTTTGTCATACTCATTGTTTCTGCTGCGTACAGTAGTATTGGTCTGATTATTGTGTTGTATAAGTAATTTTTTATTTACTTAAAAGGCCTTATTTGTAGTGACTATTTTCTTGTAATATTTCCAGTTTTCTGTCTCCAGTTTTATCTATTTTAATGCTTTTTGATGCAGCTTTGTTATCTTATCTCATGATTTTTGTTTTTTCTTGGTCTAGCTCTAGTCCCATAATTTTTCCTTTTTTTACAATTTCGTTTAAGATGTTTACCATGATCTGCATATGCAGTGACTTGTCCCCCCTCTGTTCTTGTTCCTTTATTAATTTTCCTCGTCACATACTTTAATGAGAGGTTGAACAGAGTGGCTGATAGCGAATCTTCCTGTTTTACTCCTTTATTAATTATGAATTCTTCTGTCACTCCTTTTTGTATTTTTATGTTAATGTTTGTTTCTTCTATCGTCATTGTTATTAATCGCATTATATTCATTGGTATTCCAAATTTTTGTAGGACCAACTGCAGTTTTGTTCTTTTTATTGAGTCATAGACTTGTTTAAATTCAATAAAAAGCATTTCTAATTCTATTTTGTGTTCATACGCCTTTTCCATTAGTTGCTTTATTGCATGGATTGCATCTATAGTTGATGTCCTCTGCATAAATCCACATTAGTACTGCCCTATCACCTTTTTTGTTGTTTGCGCTAGCCGTCTTTGTATTATTGCTGAATGTATTTTGTAAGCTGTATTAAGAAGTATTATTCCTCTGTAATGTTGACATATTTGTTGGCCACCTTTATTTATAGATTGTTATCACCACTCCGATTTCCCACTCTCTCGACATTTTTTCCTCTTTTCATATTTTCTGAATAATAATCAATTCGTTGCCTCCATATTTAATGAGTTCGATGTTAATTCCATCTTTTCTGGTGATTTTCCATTTATATTTTTCCCAATGACCTTTTCTGTCTCTTCTCTTGCTGGGCCAGCAATTATGTCCCTTTCTTCTATTTCATCTTCCTTTATCATCTCAGATTATTCCATCTCCGGATCGATTTGTAATCTTTCCACACGTTCTTGTATTCTTCATCTTCATCTTCCAGCATTACTTCTCCTTTTTTTATTTTTTTTTAAAAGTCTTATGTGTTTTTCTTACTTCCTTCTTGTTCAATTATTTTAATTTTATTGTTAATCCACCCTCTTTTACTTGTTCTTATCAGTTTTTTGGTTTGTTTTCTTAGTTCTTCATAGGCCATTTTATCTTCTATTTTATTTGTTCTCCAGCAACTTGATTCTTGCTAGTACCTTTTTTGTTGTTGCTTCACTACATTTTTCACTGTACCATTCATTTATTACTTTTTTCTGTGTAACCCCAAAGTTGTCTTCTGCTGCTACTTCTATGCTTTCTCTAATAACTTTCCATTCTGATTCTATTTCATTTTCTTCACGTTTATTGCTTAATATTGATTTTACTTTCTCTGCATATTTATTTGATACTTTTTCGTTGTTTAGATCATCTACATCCCATTTGTGTTGCATTGTGTTTTTTTAGCTCTTTGCACTTTTTGTTTTAAGGTAGCAGTAGGGTTGCCAACTTTGTCTTTTAATTTTTCTGGGCAAAGGTAGTACAATTCTGGACATACCGTAAAAATTCCTGACATTTCTATAATTGCAAAAAAAACATAACTTAAATAAATAATTCGACAAAAAAAAAACAAAGTTATAAAAAAAAGGATTCTTTAGGTAAATAGGAACTAATGATTGAACATTGCATTTAAAAAGAACATAAAAAGTTGCAGTTACTTAACAGTGTCACTGTTTAAAATCATATTTTTTTACTTTTTTCAGCTACTATTAATTTCTTATTACCATTTACAAAATTATAAAATTCTTTGCAAATATAAGAATAATTTATCTTTATAAGAAGTTTGGCGATTACACATTAAAGATATTATTTGGAATATTGAAATTAAGTACAATAAGCGTCCTGCAAGAGGTTGTTGCAGGACACTGGACAATGCACCTCAAATGGTGGACGTCCACTGAAATGCAGGACGGTTGGCAACCCTATGTAGCAGTTACCATGTATTGATCGGAATCTGCACATGCCCCTCTAAATATCCTTACATCTTATATTGTCGAATATTTTCTTTTTGTGATGAGTACGTGATTAATTTGACTGTATGTTTTTTCATCTGGTGATATCCAAGTCACTTTATTTATTTTGGGATGCTTAAATTTTGTAGTACTTATGATCATATTTATTTGAGCTGCTAGGTTACATAACCTCCGTCCGTTGTCATTTGTTTTTTCGTGTATGGTGTATTTACCTGCTATTTGGTATATATAATCTTCTTTGCCTATTTTTGCATTAAAATCATTACATCTTTCTTTGGAATTTTTTCTATTTCTTCTTCTACTTTATCGTAGAAAGCCTTTTTCTCCTCTGGTTTGGTTTCTCCAAAGGGCCGTATATATTAAGCAATGATATATTGAATGGTTTTGCTTTTACTTGTAGATAAGCGATTCTTTTATTTATTGGGTTAAATTCTATTGTTTCTTCTTGTAAATCACCTAGCATCGTAAATCCCACCTAATACTGTCCCTGTTTTTCGTGTCCAGAATAATGCAACGTTAATCCTTTTTTCTCAATTGTTCCTTTAACTTCCCATCTTATTTTCTGAATTGCTGCAACACCTATAGCATATATTTTCGTATTTCTTGCATTTTTCCAGGTTCTAACATTGTTTTAACATTCTAGATACTTATTCTCAATTCACGTCTGCATTTTCTTTTATTTTTATTTTTTTTCTTTCAGCATTCTCTGCTTTATTTTCATGAGTCTTTGTTTCTGTTTCTTGTCCAGTTCTTTGCCAAGTCGTTTCCTTCATTTTCTGTCCTTTGTTTTCCTTTTCCCTATATTGTCTGCTAGTTTTTTGAAGTGTCCCGTGTCCTGTTTTTTTCGTCATCTTGTTTACCATTTCATACTGTTCTGCCTCCTTATTTGGTGATCTTTCGCTGAATGTTCTTCCAGCTTTTCCTCTTTCCATTTGTTCTTTTATAGATGGGCTGTTGTTTCCATGACATAAATCTTCTAATGTATACATCTTGTCATTTATATATAATTTATTATAATTTATGTTTGCTTTAAGTCCAATCTCTCTAGCTTTCTTCATATGCTTTCTTAATATTTTTCACTGTTCTTGAATTTCTTTCGGATAATCTTCATCTATAAATATATTTGCCAACTCTACACAATTTAATTCCTAATAGTTCTTTTTTTTGTTGAAAGCATTTATTAAACCATTTCGTTCATTTAACGAAATATCTACTGACGTAATTTACCAAATAAATTTAACGAAATTATACGGTACACAATATAGTTAATCGAATTAAGCCGTCAATTCAATTTTGATGTTACTCAATAAGAGTAAGATCGTGCTATACGTAAAAACGTATACCTATAATATAAAATTTAATATCTAATTTTATTCTTTGAGTATAGGTATCAATGTTTTTTGATTGAGTAATTTTGTTAATTATTCTTAGGTAATCGTTTAAGGTGGAATTAATATACAGGAAGTACATTCATTTGTGTATGCAAATAGGTATCTATAGTCGTAATTATATTGCCGCATTTTTTTAAAAAGCCATTTACATATTCTATTCAGATGAAGGTTTTTGATATCAATCCATTTTGTTAATTAATTTTAATAATAATGTTTAACTATTTGTTACAGATCCTTCGAATGGCGTCCATATTCAGGATAGCATATTCGATAGTACTACTACTTTATTTGCCAAAGATCGAAGCTCAAGGTAAGAAAATATTTTTTTATGTACTTCTTTATTTATTAATTTTTATTTATGGTCTCTATCTAATAATACACTAGTTAGCAACTAAAAGTAATTTTAAAAATCCGACTTCAAAACCGTGCAGATGCCCTTAAAAGTAAAGATTTTTTATTTTCTCATAGATCATCAGATCTACAAATCGGACTACGTGGTAAAGAGATATCACTAAAACTACATGAAAAATTAAGAGTTTGATGATTTTCTAACAAAAAAAGAATCGGACAACGTTATAGAATTATCCCTGAACGTACAAAAAAATATATATTCCGACGAATTGAGAACCTCTTCCTTCTTTGAATTCTGTTAAAAATTACAAATGATTGATAAACCATGAAATATAATTATTACTAAGTTTTATTTATGTCCAGAATATTTTTCTTGATTTGGTATTTTTACAAAAACAGCAATATATTTCCCCATTTTGATAAATTTATTAATATTTATTGGGCAGTGAATTTTGATACTTTAATAATAAAAAATCACTTGTAACATGAGTTTGACGACTACTGGTTATTTTTTTACATACGTCTTAAAAATTATCGGAAAATTAAAATTTTCGAATTATTTTTGTCTTAGTTTTGAGCACTTTAACTAAAAAAGTGAAAATTAGTTATTTACAAGGCCTTAGTAACTACTAACTAATTTTCATGCAATACATCTTCATTATCCCGAGAAGCACCCATTATCGTCATTATTAGTGCAACCTTAAGAAAATCAATATACCTATTATTTTTAATATAAATACCAAGAAAATACCGATACTATAAGTAGAATCGCAATCGACACGGAGTAATAAATCAGAATTTAATAGGAGTTTTACAGCATAGGTGGCTCAAACAAAATCTGTGATTTTAAAGAGCCGGCAGTTAAAAGTTATGGAGATCTTTAGAATTTTACCTGTGCCGCTTCGGTTTTGTGAAAAGTAACAATGGGCTACCCCTATTTTAATTCCTTTTAAGACTTTGATGAGCGCACGGTTGGGTATTTGTTTGTATTATTTTTTTTTTGTTACTACTTTAAACTAAAATAATTGTAATTTAACCGATGGAGTGCTTGTTTTAAGTGAGTCCCCTCGCTACCCACCCTTGAAAAATTTTTTTTTGATTGGCGAAGACCAATTTTTTGTTTTTTGTGTTTTTTTGGTGATAACATATCAAGAACTTGGTAAATTCAATATTTTCACCACTTTTTTGACATGCTCCAGTTTTCCAGTCTTGCACGCTTTTGGGCCTTTTTTGGTGGTTTAGTTTTTGGCAGTATTAATTGAGTTGTCTTAACGCCGTGCCGTCAGACCCTACTCCGTTTTTACTAATATGATTATAACATTTTGACATAAAATAGATATGTTTGCCTACTCTCGAAGATCGTAACACGTAAAAGTCTCTAAATCACTATATTCATTTGATTAGTCATTATTTACTGATAATATTAAAGGTTAAGACACTGTAGTATCGATATCCAAGATTTTGTCCAGATTCCACATGTTTATTTCCTCTTTTAACACATGTTCGATTGCCTTTTGCCAATTTTCCTTCGTAACAAGTGATATGGAGGTTTCTAACAATGTCGTATTATGTCGATCTACGTATCCTTTAACTTGTGCCCATATCAGTTCAATAAGATTTACTTTGCAATGATAGGGAGGAAGGAAGTTAATGTTTCTGTCTCTTAGCCACTTAATGATATTATGTTTCTTCCATTAAGTATTTGGCACACGTCCAATTAGACATAAATGGTAACTAGCATTATCCATTACTATAACTGAACCCTTTGGTAAATGTTCTATCATCTGCTGAAAATATTCTTCAAAAACATCAGCGTTCATATCTTCATTGTAGTCTCAGGTTTTTTTAGATTGAATTATTAAAGAATCACGTTTTGAAAACTCGTCATTCACTTCCAATATGAGTTATAATTAGACGTCGTCCTTTACCGAAAGAAACCTTCAATTCTGTAGAGAATCCTGTCGTGAAGATTGAATGTTTGTCTTGCCACATTCTGCGGTGTAACCTTCATTCACCCAGGTTTAAAAATGGTTCTGAGTTATCTCCGTCTCCAACAAATAATTTCATCAGAATCGATAAGTGCTGCGTTCCTGTCCTGTTTTTTCCACTTGAACTTCAAATCTGTTAGAGTTTCCCGTATAGTTTTGTCTTTCCCATTATAGGAAAATACGGATCACTATTGATTGCGTCTAAAACCTTGGCAAGTGTTGGTATCTCTTCTTATTCCGCTTTTAATTTCTTTTGTAAATTTCACTTTTTTCTTACTACTTGCATTTTTCTTTGGGGGTTTAACAACTCTACTTTTTAATTCACTTTAACTTTATATATCGTTGATTTGCTTATACCCATCATATTGTGTTTTCAACAGTATCGTCAACAGAAAACGAAGGATTTTCCATTCTTAGGCAATTATAAACTTTACTTACAAATATTTTCTCGGTAACTGACAACGCACACTTTTTTTTACGTTTCACAGGTGTAAACTTTGAACTCAAACCACACTGCATTTTTCAATATCTACTACTGTCACTATTAACCGAAAATAACCACAACTTGTTACTATAATAGATAACATAGAAGGCTAATCAAACAGGGTAGGTAATATTGGGAACTGATCAAGATACTAACTGCAACTGCCTATCTTATCTTCATACCAAATCCTAGGTAGGTACCATCTTATAATCCCACCCCCTTGTTATTATTTTGGTTTCTTCATGGCATTAGCAATCTCCAAGAAGTTGATAAAATAACGAATAATCCTTAGATTATAGACTTCTGTAGTCTAAGGATTTATCCCATTTACATTTTTAATACAATATAGTCACATTTATAGATTTTAGACCTTCAGATTACTTTCTATAATCTAAGCTGAATCCTTTCTCTCCACTTGTCATTAACTTTCATCTTGACATCAAAAATTTCCAAGAAGACAATGATGACTAATGATTTAAATAATTTAATGCAGGTATACCTAATAGTCAAATTTATAGGTCTTCAAAAATATTTGTTATGTACCTTGTTGTTAATTTACTCAGACATATAACTCTACCATTTACATAACAATTGCAAATAACTCAAAAAGACATTGTGTAAAGTACCTACAAACCAAAATAATACTCAATAATACATATTCGAAAAAATATATTTTTACATGATGATTTTGTGTACCCCGTAAATAATAATATAGGCACCCACACCTGAAATTTCCTGATCTGACAGGTATATTACTCCATGTCGATTGCGATTCTACCATCAGCACAGGGACTCCGGTCGCTTCAATCCTATCGATTGGCACTCCGTGTCTCCAAATAATCGCCAGGGGGGCTATTTTCAAAGTATAAGAGCACTCATTTCTCTCAAGATTCTCATCAGAAATGTCATACGTCAATGTGGAAATGTTGTTTTTAAAGGCATCGAGGATTAAAATTCTTAAGAAGATTTTAATGCTCTCTAAATAAACCGAGAGAAACAATCAGTGAGTTCACACTGGCCCTAAGAGCCCTAAAAATACGGTTTTACGTTGACGTATGACATTTCTCTTGAGAGAAATGAATTCTCTCGAGTTTGAAAATAGCCCCCCAGGAGTCGACTGTAACTATCGCCACGAAGCGAGACGTCAAGACATATAGTTTTCTACGAAAGTAGGCAAACCGTCATATATTTTTGTTTTGATTTTAAAACATATGACATTGGATTTAATTTAAAATGAAAAAAAAGTAACAAACGTAAAAATAAGAATTACGGTAAAGCCATTAGCTTTGTTGTTAAATCAAGTGAATTTTTTATTGTGGTGTGTGGTGTAAACATTATAATAGGTTTATTCTGCCATATTTTTTTAACAGCAAAATCTGCTAGGTCCAAGGCGAATCTTCCTGCTGAAGAGGCACATACAGCCACAGCATCAGTATAAAAAAGATAATAATTTTAAATCCTTGATCCAGGATATTCCCCAATAAAACAAATAATTTTACAGTATGATACTTGACTGCCGACAGAGGTCTCCAAACTTACTTAATAATGTCATTGTAAAACTATGTTTAATAAATAATGTATCAGATTTTTATTTTTAATCTTTTATTGTAAATAAGTTTGGAAAAGGTCACAAATGAATTAAATTTAAGTAGATGTGCCCTTTTCCAAAAAAACCGATTCACTTATTTTTCTCTTCATTTGGTCGCAGGATTTCAACATGGGTACAATCTACTGCTCCAATTATCCCTGGAAAATTTCTTGCTTCTATAAAACATAACTAAATTTGTTGTTTTTCCTGTAGAGTTCTAGGAAACCGAATCGATTCCCCTAAGAAGGTGTTTATAATGGCCGTTTTTCCCCTTTAGCTCTCGACGTAATTCCATTTTATACTGGGACATATCTTTATTTAATCGAAATAACTCTACAAATCTTACATTTTCTATAGAGAATGGATCGCTTGTCTCTCTCATTACTAGCCTATCTATATTTTCCAAACTAAGATGTTATAGTCGTTCCTCCTTTTCAGCAGCTAATATATTGGCCACAAACAAAGGGACCATTATTACAAATCAAAGCAAAAACTAGATAACACAAACTCAAAATCAAAACCAAAGCGGCACCTTATCTGTCAGAAATTGACATACTTGACAAAAAGTAACAAATCTTTCTATAATTCATGCAAACATTTTTAGATCGGTTAGTAAACCTCCGAGAATGTCCGATGTTTTGACATCCATGAATCGACTGTCACACGGAGTACCGGCAAAGCGTTTATAGAATTCTACAGTAGAAATCGATTGTAGAAAACTATATGTCGAAAGCGATGGGACACGGAGTGTCGCTTGTCGCATTGGACCATCGATCTATCAGTCTAAAGACTGCTGGTAGGCCCTAGTCCAAGCAGTGGGCCCTCGTTCAGACAGTCGGCCCTCGTTCTATCAGAAGAACAAAGAAGCAAATGCAAAGAAACCCCGTAATACGTGACAA